AAAAAAAAAAGCCGGAAGTGGCGCTGTGGCTCAAGTGGTAGAGCGCCAGCCTTGAGCTGAAGAGCTGAGGGACAGTGCCCAGGCCCAGAGTTCAAGCCCCACGACCGGACCCAAAAAAAATAAAAAATAAATAAAAATGTTCAGGTGTCAGTAGCTTACACTTGTAATCCTAGCTACTCAGGAGGCTGAGGTCTGAAGGGTTCAAAACCAGCCCAGGCAGCAAACTGTGAGACTTGTATCTCCATATAAGGGGCTGGGAAGGTGGCTCAATGGTAGAGTGCTTGCCTTGCATGCTTGAGGCCCTGGGTTCGAATTCCTCAGCACCACGTAAGCAGAAAAAGCTGGAAGTGGCGCTATGGCTCCCGTGGTAGAGTGTTAGTCTTGAGCTGAAGAGCTGAGGGACAGCGCTCAAGCTCAGAGTTCAGGCCCCATGTCCGACCAAAAAAAAAAAAAAAAGCCTCAAGTGGAGCTGTGGTTCAAGTGTTAGAGCACTACCGTGAGCAAAAAAGCTAAGGGACATAGAGCATCCAGGCCTGGAGTTCAAGCCCCCCCACCACACACATATCAAGAAAAATCATTATTTTGCATAGAAGTACAAAGATATACACATGTGCCTTTATAGACACTCCTCAGCTTAAAACTATGCTCTGGGAGGTGTAGTAGTACAAATATCCCTGGACATGCCCTCTTGTTGTTGTTGGCTGTGGTACCTGGGCCTCACTGCTTACTCAGCCTTACCGCTTGGACTCTGCCTCCAGAGTGACTTCTTACAGGTTATTTTGGAGATAGGTTCTAGGGAGCGTTTCTGCCCAGTGGCTTTGTACCACAGTCTTCCAGATGGCAGCCTCCTAAGCTCTAGGATGACAAGCATGAGCCCCTGGCATCTGGCTGATATTCTTATAGCTACTGGAAATACACTGAAGAGAGATGTGTTTTAGCCACCATTCCAGCTGTGGTTCCTAACCCTGTGGTTTGTGTAAGGTGGTCCTTGCCTATGAGTCTGTGACTTTGGAGAGAGACTGTTTCTGGGCTGTCCAGAAACCTTTTTCCTAAGACTGAGCATTCCAACTAGCTGTGGTACAAAAATTACTTTCCTTAGGCACTTGACATCAATAGTTACTGGCCACTAGTGCTGATAGTAGATTATTGATACTCATTTGTGTGTGAAGCTGTTACTGTAAAGCTGTTGTTACAAACTGAAAGTTTGTCCCATCAAAGGTCCTATGTAAATGGAAACCTCCTTCCCCAATAGTCTCTGGGAGGTAAAAGGCCTGAGGTGCCCTGCAGACCACATGGCCCCCATGTGATGTGTGAGATTGCTGCCCTTAACCAGAGAGCAGAGAGCTTCCTCCTCTCTCCCTTAATTGTGGGTCTCTAAAAGTGAGATATCCACACAGTTTAAACCTCCATAGGTCTAATGTTCTGTTACAGTGGTAACTGTCACTGATTTCTAGCAATCACCTGATAATACCAAGGCTCTCCCAGCGGCGCTCCTTCTCCAGTGAGGGGGAGCCCAGTGGAGTCCCTGCAAAGTTCTCTATCAAACCCTTGATATTTGTTCTGCTAGCTGTGTTTGTCACTGGGGAAAGCTTGGAAAGATGGTTACTGTATTATTCTCTTGTAAATTGCACTTCCAAAGACGAAAGTTGCTCTTCTCTGAAAAATGAATATCACATCTCATTTACTAAGTAAAAATCGCTTTGTTGTGGAGAATTAACATTTTTGTGAAATTAGTTGAGCATTTGTGAAATTAGTGTAGCATTTTTTACAATCTGCTCTTGGATTTATTTCTCTTGTTTCTAAATTGTATTTAACAACAAAAAAAATCTGTTTTATTTGGCAGCCGTGGGGCCAATTTTATAACTCAGATTTTGCTGAGACCAGGAGCATCTGATTTAACTGGCAGCTTCAGGTACAGTGAAAGTTTCTACAGTTTGTAACTTCTTATCTGATTCTTGAATTATAATGGCTGTTGTAAAATACTTTTTGCGGGCTGGGAAGGTGGCTCAGTGGCAGAGAGCTTGCCTTGCATGCCTGAGGCCCTGGGTTTGATTCCTCAGCACCACATAAGCAAAACAAAAGAGCCGGAAGTGGCGCTGTGGCTCAAGTGGTAGAGCGCTAGTCTTGAGCTGAAGAGCTGAGGGACAGTGCCCAGGCCCAGAGTTCAGGCCCCACAATCAGACCAAAAAAAAAAAAAACCAAGAAATACTTTTCGCTGGGCCTTGGTGGCTCATCCTGTAATCATAGCTACTCAGGAGGTTGAGAACTAAGTATCACAGTTTGAGCCGAGGCTAAAAAGTTGGTGAGATTTTTTTTATTCAGGTAGGTCATGGGGCTTGAACTCTGGGCTTAGTTGCTGTCTTTGAGCTCTTAAGCTCAAGGCTAGCACTCTACCACTTAAGCCACAGCTCCACTTCCGGTTTTCTGCGTGGTTTACTGGAGATAAGAGTCTCACAGACTTTCCTGCCCGGCTGGCTTTGAACCACAATCCTCAGACCTCAGCCTCCTGAGTAGCTAGGCTTATAGGCATGAGCCACCAGTGCCCAGCTAATGACTCTTATCTCCAATTAACCTCCAGAAAACTGGAAGTGGAGCTATGGCTCGAAGTGCTAGAGCACTAGCCTTGAGCAAAAAAAAACTCAGGGACAGGGCCAAGGCCAGGAGTTCAAGCCCCAAGACCAAAAAAAAAAAAAAAACTTTTCAGCTATACGTGGTGGCTTACGCCTGTAATCCTAGCTATTCAGGAGGCTGAGATCTGAGGATCATAGTTCAAAGCCAGTAAAGTTTGTGAGGCTCTTATCTCCAATTAATCACCAAGAAAACTGGAAGCTCAGTTCGTGGCTCAAGTGGTAGAGCACTGGCTTTGAGCTGAAGAGCTGAGGGACAGCGCCCAGGCCCAGAGTTCAAGTCCCATGACCGACCCACAAAAAAAAAAAACAAAAAAAAAAAAGCTTCATCCCACCCTTCTTTTGTTCTAGAATGCTAGAAAAGGTGGACTGAAATTCCCTATTAGATGGTAGTGCATCCTAATATCTTCTCAAAGGAATATTGTACTTTTTCTCCAAAGTTTAAATGCAGGACCTAGTTTATAGAGTATTGTTCACTTGAGCACTAGGACCCTCCGCTCATCTGGAACAGCAGAAGAAGAGTATATAGCAACTTCCTGCAGCGTATTATATAAATACTTAGGGCATTGTCTGCAGAAAAGTTGAAAATTTTTTCCTATTTTCTTTATATATGTGAATGTGCTGTGTGTTCTGAACAACCACAAGCCTTACAGGAAGCCTGGAGAAAAGCCTGGGTTCCAGCTCACACCCTTAGGGTCCTAACTTCAAAGAGAACTGCCTCCTTAAGTAAGAATTGCTGCCTCCTTACCCACTGATTTAAATAAATAAAAGAACATCCCAGCTCCTCTGTCTTACTTAAAGGTGATTCTGATCTCTGGGGACCTGCAGATGCCTTAGGCTGTGCCTGTCTCTGTACAAGTCTTCATGGAAACCAACTCCACTATTACTCCACCATTACTACTGACCCCCTCTGGCCACCAAGTATACATTATTGCTTCATCATCCACTGTCAGTTCTGCTGTTCCAGGTTTGAAAGAGTTTCTCCCTGTTCAAGTTTACATGGAAATGCTGAGGATATTTATACACAGTAAAAGTAATGTAGCCAATGATTTGGTTATGTTGAAGTAAGTCCTAATGGTATGACAGTCCTCTTGGAGATGCTGAGACTCCCTCCTTGTTTGAGACAAATGTGGCATGGTCGTCACCTGTAAGAATTTTTCTCTAGGCCAATGGTTAGAGAAGGTTTTAGACTTGCCAGGTACCGGTGGCTCACGCCTGTAATCCTAGCTACTCAGGAGGCTGACATCTGAGGATCCAGGTTCAAAGCCAGCCTGGGCAGGAAAGTCCATGAGACTCATATCTCCAATAAACTACCAGAAAACGGGAAGTGGTGCTGTGGCTCAAGTGGTAGAGCGTTTGCCTTAGGCTGAAGAGCTGAGCCACAGCGCCCAGGCCCAGAGTTCAAGCCCCAGGACCAACAAAAAAGTTTTAGATTTAATCCCACTGAGCTCCCTGCAGAGGTCATGTATCATCCAAACATTCATACATGTTCTCATTTCTTACAGATTATACCGAAAAGAGGTTCTACAGAAACTAATCGAAAAGTGTGTTTCTAAAGGCTATGTGTTCCAGATGGAGATGATTGTTCGGGCTAGACAGCTGAACTACACTATTGGGGAGGTAAGAAGCCAGCCAAGCCACGTGTGTTTCTGTAGAAGCGGAAGGCACAGACCTGACAAACCCACCTTCATGCTGCAGCGCCAATCTGTGGGCATGTGAGTGGGTACAGTGTTCATGCACTGTTAAGTGATGGGATTCTGCTTTGTTGTCATAACTCAACATTGCTCCTACGGGTTGGCCCACAGACCACCATTTCCCCAGGGAATCTTCCCGAAACTCTCCAACCCATGCTTCAGCTCAGAATCTTAATCTAAATATGAAAGCCCACTCCCCCAGCCTCTCAGGTAATAGGTTCCTGTGAGACAGGACAGGAGACTTGCTTAACAGTAAGTTTCCCCAAGCCAAACCTGTATCTTAAGCTCTCCAAACTCTGAGCCCTTGAGCTACCTGCAATCCTGCCTCCTACCCTTTGAACCCTCCATGCCTGGCATCTTGCCCCCACCCATTACCCTATTTAAGCTCCTCTACCTCTGCTCAGCCTCCTGTCTCTCCTTAAGTCACTGTGGCTTCTTTCTTCAACCTTACATTAAAATTGATCCCATTGGTTGAGGTCATTTTCTGTTCTTTCTCATGGCTCCCATTTCATAACAATTAGGAGTAAACATTCAAGTCTTCTTTAAAATTTTAAGACTTACTAGCATATTTGTTCAGGAACAGTGTCACTGTGACATACACAGGCATGCATGTGATGTACCCTATCCCACCTCACTTTGTCACTTATCACTCTTCTTGGGGGTTGGAACTCAGGACCTCAGAACTGCAAGGTAGGCACTGTGCTACTTGAGTCACACCTCCCAGCCCCCACCCTTTTTTAGTAGTCCTGTCCATGCTTCCTGCATAGCTGAGGTTGCAGGTCCTGCCACCGTACCTGGCTAATTGGTTTGGCAAGGCTGCCCTCAAACCACGGTCCTCCATTTCTCCACCTCCAGAGTAGGTGGGAGCCACTGCCCAAGTGCAGCTTTACCTTTTAAATAATGAAGTTACTAGTGTCTCCTCCACCCTGCACTTTTCTTCAGACCAGTCAGCATTATGGTGTGCGTCCCTTGGATGCTTTTCCTCTTGTAGCCAACAACTATTGAATGGATCAGTGGATCCCATGTGCCATTTCCCGTGACAAATGGAAATGGCCAGAAATTACACAGCAGAGGGCTGAGATTATATTTTCTGCTGGTTAGTGAGCTCTTAGGGAAGTCTTGCTTACCAGCTCTTATTTACAACAATTTCCACCTAGCATGCCACTTCCTTGTAGAAGGTTTTTTAAGAAAATGCTGCAACAGCAGTAACATCACAAACTGAAAAACTAAGTGAAAGGTCATTCTACATTCTGAAAGTATGTTTGTTCTTCAAGATGCAACCTGCAACTTGAGTAAACCAGCATAATATACAGGGCTGACATTTTTCAGATTGTTGTAGACTGCATTCTGATCACCTGTTCTTAGATGACAAAATGTTTAAGGATGGACAGTTGCTTTGTGAACCTAAAGAGCTGACCTTTTTCTCTTGTGTTAGTGTTGCACTTCATGTTTGTAAAGACTAACTTTAATTATCTTTTTTACTCAGGTTCCAATATCATTTGTGGATCGAGTATATGGTGAATCCAAGTTGGGAGGAAATGAAATAGTCTCTTTCTTGAAAGGATTATTGACTCTTTTTGCTACTACATGAAAGAAAGTTACTCATTTATTCTTACCATGTTCATTTCAATGTAAAAATACAAGAAGCCTGGTTACTGATTAAAAATGTACTCTTAGAGCATGATCATAAGGTAAGGCATATTACATACAAATATTTTCTCTAGAAAAATTCCCATTTTGTACTCCAAATTAAAAGTTACTGATTTAATGACTGATGTTCTTGATTTTTATTTACATTTTGCTATATTAAGTTATAAATGCACATGGCATAAAATGTTGCTGCTTTCATTAGAATAGGTGGATGCAGAGTTTTTATATGGCAAAGACTGAGATACTCATTACAAAACTATAATCATATCAGTTCCTAATATGTGTTCGGAAAGAAAGATTAATTATATCTTCAAAACACATAGGGTTTCTGCATAGTTAAGAAAGAAATACAGGTGTCTATCTTTTCCTATAAATGTATCCAATTTGTTAAGCCAATAAAACTACATTTACAGCAACTTAGAGTAGGGTTTTACAGGAATTCATATACTTCAGTGTGTATTTAAATGTATGATGTGAATTGTGAACTGCTGGGCAGTTGTTCACATAGCTTTTTGGGGGGGGGGTGTTATGGGGCTTGAACTTCTGGGCTTGGGCGCTATCCCTGCACTTTTCAGCTCAAGGGGAGCGCTCTTACCGCTTGAGCCACAGCACCAGTTCCGGTTTTCTGATGGTTAATTGGAGATAATAGTCTCAAGGACTTTCCTACCTAGACAGGCTTGAAACCAGGATCCTCAGATCTCAGCCTCCGGAGTAGCTAGGATTACACGTGTGAGCCTCTGGTGCCCGGCCTCACATCCCTTTTTTCAGAAGTTTGGGTTTTTGAGTTTTTTGTCTTTGTTTTGAGCAAAAACTTCAATCAATAAGAAAACGCATTTTACTTTGCTTTATCTTAAAATACTTTTTTATATTTCACAACCTTCATCAACAAAGCTTGAGCCTTTGCTAAGGGAGCAAGAATTTTTAATTATTTTATTTTTGCCAGTCCTGAGGCTTGAACTCCGAGCCTGGGCACTGTCTCTGAGCTGCTTTTTGCTCAAGGCTAGCACTCAACCACTTGAGCTACAGTGCCATTTCCGGCTTTTTCTGTTTATGTGGTGCTAAGGAATTGAACCCAGGGCTTCATACATGCTAAGCAAGCACTCTACCACTAAGTCACATTCCCAGCCCCTGGAGCAAGAATCTTATACGAAGATTTTTTTCCTTCATCCAGGAAAATGTTCTGCAAGTTAAAATAAAGGATAAGATCTACTGAGTTTCCTTGTAGATTAAAAACAAAAAACAAAATCAGGTTAAAGTTACCTAATATCTAGTGAAAAATACTTACGTTTATTCAATGCCAGGCTGCTGAATGTACCAGGAAACTGATTAAACTCCAGGCCTGTGTCTATTAGAAATAAAACCTAGCCAAATGCCAATGGCCCAGGCCTGTAGTCCTAGCTACTCAGGAGGCTGAGATTCTGAGGGTCATGGCTTGAAGCCACGGCAGAAAAGCCCAAGAGATTTTTATCTCCAGTTAATCACCATAAAGCAGAACTGTGGCTTAAGTGGTAAGCTCTAGCCCTTAGCAAAAATACTCAAGGACAGTGCCCAGGCCCTGAGTTCAAGCCCAAGGACCAGCAACAACAGAAAAAAAAAAGGGGGGGAGGGACTAAAACCTTTAGTGTCATACTGAATAAAGAAACCCCCTCCCCCCAGTGGTGAACCCAGACTACACAGTCCACTGGGACCAGTACTAATCTAGTTGCCTTTCACTAAGAACAGATCTGACAAGCCCAGCAAAGACCAACTTTCCTCAGGGAAGTGACTTGTCTTCGCGGCAACTAGAACATTCATCAGTGCTTAATTCTATTTCAACAGTATAGGATGACAGTGTTCTCAATTTGTTTTGGTGTTGAGAATCTACTTTTTTAAAACCCAGTGTTCTAAGTGTCCAGCCACATGGAACAGAAATTAATCACCCCAAAGAACCCAAGTAGAGATTGCATTGTCTTCCTGTACCCCACTAGAGTAAAATTTCTTTTTAGTCTTTCGAGTTATTTATGCAATTGTTACACTATCTTACCATGTGGAAGTCATTTTAAAAAGAATCTGGAATGTCTTGATGCATTTTTCATAGTAAATCTGGTGACGTAAAGACTGTATCTACATCTGAATCATAAATGAAGCCACGGATGAATTCCAGGTGATCTTCCTTCGTGTTCATATTGTCACGGTTCAGAAGCCAAGCCTCTCTCTGCAACGCTAGAGAGCAGCTTCGTTTGCTCATTAGACTAGCTTCGGCCTGTCTCCCACAGAAGTAGTTAGAGCCTTCATCTCACCCTCCGGACCTAATGCTTTGCCCCCACCTCCACTCCGGCCTTTTAAACCCTTCTTCCACACGTTTCCATCGACATGCCCACGTGGCTCTTAAAGACACACTGTATCTGAGTTCAAGCCCCATGCCCGGCAGAAAAGAAAAGAAAAGATACCTCGAAGATACGTTGTCTCGCAATTGCAACAACTGATGGAAAGCTGCGCGGGGTGAAAGCCGGCTAAACTTTCACGTCTGAGCCCCAGTTCCTGCCACCGTGAGGAGATTCTTTTAGGAGCGTGTGGAACTAACTTAAACCGCCGCGTGTGGAGAAGCGGGGCTTGGCATTCACGGCCTTCCCGCGTTCAGCCGGGGGCGCGCTCCGCTCCGGAGGCGGCTCCAAGTCTCCACGTCGACCGTCGGCGCGGCTCCGGGGACCCGCCGGCCCCGCGGGCCGCGTCCTTTCCACCCCCAGGCCTCCAGAGCCAGGGCCAGCCTGAG